TGGGACCCAGGCGCCCCGGGCGGGGGGGGGAACGGGGCTCCTCCGGGTTGGGAAGCTGGTGGAGGAGGGATGGAAGCACCGGGAAGCGCCAGTGGGAAGTGCCAGTGGGAGCTGGTGTTGTCCCACCATGTTAATTAACCATGAGGTGGTTAATTAGTGAGGGAAGGGATATGCAAATGAGGGGGGTGGGTATGCAAATGGAGCTGCCAGGCCCCCTCCCCCCCCAGTCAGTGCTGCCGTGGGATGGGATCCCAGCTAAGGATGGGATCCCGATTAAGGACTGGATCTCGAGGGTGAGAGCACAGTGAAGGGTCAAATCCCAGTTAAGGCTGGAATGCCAAATAAGGATCAGATCCCAGTAAAGGATTGGATCCCACTTAAGGACAGGATCCCGATCAAGGATGAGATCCCAAAGATCAGATCCCGATGAACGACTGGATTGCAATAAGGATGAGATCCCGATGAAGGATGAGATCCCAAGTACGGGTGGGATCCTGATCGAGGATGAGATCCTAAGGATTGGAGCCTGATGAAGGATTGGATCTCAAGGATTGGATCCCAACTGAAGATCCCAAATAAGGATGAGATCCCAGATAAGGACCAGATCCCAGGTAAGGATTGGATCTTAATTAAGGGTCAGATCCTTATTAAGGATCAGCTCTCAAGGAGGAGATCCTGATTAAGGATGAGATTCCAGTTTGGGATCTGATCCCAATTAGGGCTGGCGGGGGAGGGCCAGGTCTGGGGTGCTTCTGGGGTGTTTTGGGTGCCGGTACCTTTGAAGCAGGTGATGAAGTTCTTCACTTTGGTGTCATCCAGGAAAAGCTGTGGAAAAGCAGGAAAAAGCCTCAGGATTCCCGAGCGTCCCCAACAGGTCCAGGGGCTGCCTGGGATCTGTCAGGGATCCGAGTCCATCTGGGATCTGTCCAGGATCTGAGTGGGATCCAGGTGGATTCTGTTTGGGATCTGTTTGGGATCTGCCTGAGGCCCACCTAGGTCCATTTGGGATCTACCTGGGATCCACCCGGGATCCAGCAGGGATGCATCTGGGATCTACCTGGGATCTGGCAGGGATGCACCTGGGATCTGGCAGGGATGCACCTGGGATCTATCTGGGATTCAGCAGGGATGCACCTGGGATCCAGCAGGGATGCACCTGGGATGCGCCTGGGATCTACCTGGGCTCTGTCCCGAGTCCATCCCGGTTTTTGGGGTCTGTCTGGGATCTGCCCAGGCTCCACCTGGGATCGCTCCATGACCTGCCCCCGGC